CTACACTAGTCCGGGTACATTCAGGTGCACATCTTTTCCTCTATTTTTTGGACTTATGTCATTGACATAAGGGATGCCATTTTGTACTGAGCTTTTTGAAGACGTTGGATACATTTGAAAACAGTATTTTGGAGTATACTGTGAAAATGTAGGAATTTTAAAATAATGAGCATTTTCTGACAGGTGTAGACAAAAAACTTTTGGAAAATGCTTGAAAACACTAGCGTGGACGAAGAAACCTTTGAAATAAAAACGCCATTTTCAAATGAATCCTGATTCTCAGCAAAAAAAATTAGGTTCTGTGAACATTCTAGGACTTTATAATTAATTAATTAATTCATTCTCCTTACGTTATAAAAATGGAACCAAAAAAACTACACGGAACGTTCCTATAATGTTCTCTCTTGGTTTCCAAAAAAAAAAAATAACCTCATGGGACCATTCGGGAACGTTAGGGGAACATTCTGTGTTGGAGATTAGAAAATTTCACCTCTATAATTACAGACTAAATAACCGCAAAAAAAACGCAAGATCATAATTGTGGCACCTACAAACCTTAATCCGCTTCCCGTTCAGGCTAGTCATCTGCTGAAGAATTTTCTCTATTATAAATAGTGATTCAGTTATACATCAGAACTATTTGCTATAGAATATTCAGCCCCTCGATACTCGTGTTGTGGAGCCTAAATCTCAGAAAACACATTTGGAAATCCCTAGGCTAAAGTCTGGCTCAAAGAGATCAGCCTGAAACAACACAGGGTGATTTTTTTAATAAAGCCCCTTTTTGAGAGGGCCCTGCAATGACTCTCATCTTAAGACCATTAACAAGGGGTGGAGGAAGTCCTTCACTTCAATTATGCTTGATCTATTAATCATTACCTGCTCGTGGCTGAGTGCAGGCTGGCTGACCTTCGTGCAATGTGGAATCAGAGGCACGCCAGGCCTCCTCCTTACACAAACAGCCAGAATAAAAGGGAAGTGCTCCCAAAGACCTGCTACTCTCATTCCCAAACCTGCCACACACACACATTATTCATGACAGACCACCAGCACTGCCACTGGAACCTCTGTCCTCGGGAACTTGAACTGGGCCCCTTGAACCAGCTTGCCCTTATGACAGGCAGAAAACTAAGGAACAGCTCAGAGGAGGAGTCAAAAATTTAATTCATCTTTGTTGCTTTTCATTGGTGCAAAATTGGTCATTGGTCCATCCAGTGGAGTGGATCTGAAATAAACACAGCTAATAAAAATGACAGCAGGCAAGAGATATAATTGATGAATGAATCATTCTTTTAAACCATTTCTTTTTAATAAGGACGAATAATTGCCTACTATATAGTATGCGTAAAACAGTACGTCAACAGAAGAGTATGTCTGAAAACTTCCGTCTGAGATCCTGAAGTGTGCATGCATTCGCTGGACACTTTAATATTCCATGAGGCAGAGGGAAAAGATTTATGAATGACTGTGAAAAGAAGCAACTGATGCTGTAGGTCACATGACAGTGGAAACATGGGGAATTTCATTCAACCTACACACATTCATCCTACCGGTTTCAAACCAAATGTAGTAACTACTATACAATATGCGATTTCGGATATTTAGATTTTGGATACTACAATCAACAGATTCACCAAAAACAAATTTGATCAGTTTATCAGTTGAGCTTCTTCATGCTTTCATTCTCTTTGAACTCAAGGAAAGAGTAAATTTCATCACTTCTTCCTAAGCTGCTGCAATAGTTAACACATGAAGCTATCCAATATTTTGCTTTCCAGCTTTTCCTTTTTATAGTTAGTCTGACTCACCCTTTTTAAGGGATCAGAAATGCAAGGGATCACAAGTTTGAAACAGGTCCATTTCAGTTTAACCGATTATTTTAAAGCACAATGCAAGCTTCCACTATTGTGCAGCTTAGCATTTAATAAATTAGCATCCACATGCAAACAAAGTCAGAGAAACACTGAAAAGCAGCATGTTCACACTTGACAACTTCACAGTAAGGAGAACGTTTGATTTGTTGATTTAAGAAACAATGCCAAAATCACTACTCTCAAAATTGATCTGGACTTCTGAACATACAAATGCAATTGTGGAATAAAACAATAATTAAAAGATGAGTTCACTCAAAAAAAAAAAAAACATTACTCGTCCTCATGTCATTCCAAGAATGTATGACTTTTCCATATAAAAAGAAGTTCAGCTCTACTCCATTCAATGAAAGTGGATGACGACCAAGGTCTTTCAAGGACAAAATAAATCATAAAATCACATCTATATAAAACTATCCACACTGGTCCATATGAATTATGGCTTCAGATGACTTGGAATAAAGCATGATACTTTCTGTGAGGAACAAGCTGAAATTTAGGTTATAATTCAGATAATCTTGCTTGTCAGCCTTGGTCACTATTCACTTTCATTGTCCGGAAAACAGCAGCTCAGACATCCTTCTACACATTTAGTGTGCAGAAGATGTATTTGATCTATTTTTGCTCAAACTTATTCACCCAGGTTTTTTTTTTTTTTTTTCATGAAACAACCCAAGTGGCTCTGCTTCCGCATGGAGAAAACGGGGTGGGAGTGAGAACTCAATGCCTCTAGGCCTCTATTCTAAGCATTCCAGTCTACACTTGTATCAAGAATTTCTTGTTGCGTTCTCTTGTTATCGCATTTCACCCTCTCAATATTTTCATTACAAACAACCTTTTTTTCTCCCCTTAAGAAAACTTTGGATTTGATGGCAGTATTCACAACTTCAGCTTGGAATCTCTTCATTTCTCAGCGCTATCTAACCTGTCAAAGGTGAGGAGAGAGAAGAGGATACATTCGGCAGACTGGCAGGTACGATCTTGTTCTTTCCACCACACACACACTCTTTTTTTGCTGTAGGTCTAAAACATGGATGCTAAGCAGTAAAGGGAAAAAAAATTGTACTTTACACTAAAAGGTCATGCTTTATTAAATCATTAATGGATAACATAAAATAATCCTAAATCAGTTTAGCCAACAGAAAACGAACACCATTCCAAGTCACTCAGCCTTCAGTTTATTGTATACTTGCCTAACCATGTCAAAAGCAAGGTCAGAACCACTGTGTCTGAATGTTTTGAAGTACACAGTCTCTGTTTACAGACTCTGCCATTTTGGAATTAGAATTCGCAAGCTGCGTGTTTAACAAAACCGTTGCCCATTCTGAGCACAGCTGTTTGCTATTTGTAGCGTATACTTGAGCATCTTGTGTGTAAAATGAGATCCAATCCCATTACAATATAAAAAGAATCACATTTGTTAAAAGAAGCACATGGTCTGTCATTAGCCAGAGCAGCGCTTATTTTCAGTGGCCAAACACTTAACCCGCCAAGTGCGGTACTCTGCTAAATAGCCCCCTTATCAAACCTTTTAAGATTTTAGCAGCCTCTAAAAAAGACTGCCTTCAACTCTGCAATGGCTTGTGCCAAAAAGCTCAGCACTAAAAAGCTGAGAACTAAAAAAAAGAAGGACAAAGGGGACGTTTTGTGCCCTGAAGGAACACTTTTCCGATTTGTCCTCGATTCTATTAAAGTCGGCATGAAATCAAATTTGACAAATCTTCTTTTTATAGGGATGGGCAACGATTAATCGCGATTAATCGCATCCAAAATAAAAGTTTTTGTTCACATAATATATGTTTGTGTAGTGTGTATAATTAAATTGTATATATAAATACCCACACATGCATGTATATATTTAAGAAGTTTGTGCATGTATATATTTTATATATATTTATTCAAATTTAATATTATATATAAATATTTGATATATTAATAACACATTTTTCTAAATATATACATGCATGTGTGGGTATTTATATATACAAATTAATTATACACACTACACACACATATATTATGTAAACACAAACTTTTATTTTGGATGCGATTAATCGCGATTAATCGTTGCCCATCCCTATTGTAGAGTTTATTATAAATGATTTATCTGTGCACTTCATTTTTTTTTTTAATTCATGTACCCTCCCCCCTCAAAATGACCTCGCTTCTCTTTCAGTCACGATGTGGTCAGACTTTATGTTGATAGTCGAAAGTCTACACTTAACAACCTGCCATCCAGAGAGGATGCAGAGTCCCGATTTACAGAATTGATCGGACCTATAAGACTGATGTTAGCTTCAAACGCTTTGTTGTACTCGAGAATAATGTGTATTTTCTCTGCTTGTTCTCTTGCCAGCATTGTAGAGCACTACAAGATTAAACTACAAGCACTGCTTATTTACAAAATGGAAAAAAGAAACTCACCATTTATAATTGATGGACAACGACTATTTCACATTTACATTAATAAAGCGAAAGCACTTTGAAAAGTCGCAGTAGTTTGGACAACTGTCTCGTCTAATTTATACTACTTTTTTCTTTTCCACAGAGCCAAACTTCCCTCTGACAGTCTGGCTTGGAAAAGGTGGAAATAAGCAGCGAATGTCATCATAACACAGATGCAGGGGCCCTTAAGAGGGCCACATAGCTTGAAGCTATGCAGTTACGTTATAGTATCTCCACTCTCTAACTCTATAAATGATTTCCCTCAAGGAAAGGTAGAGGTTTGGACTTTCACTCAGATTAGTCAAAGGCCCTGCAGGTGCTCAGTTAGTGGACAGACACACCCTTCGAGAGCACTGACTGTCAGCGACTGATGGCACACATTGCTTTTAAGGCCCCAGGCCCAAGAAATTCAATGAAAAAAAATTGGAAAAAACTTTTTGAAAACGTTTCATTTGGAAAGCCATGACTGCTGTATTAATATAATGTAAATGGTTAATGTAATGTCACAAAACATGTACCGCTTCATTAGGTAGAAAGAAGATGCAGTTAGAGCAGAAAACACCACCTGCTTTTGCAATCAGGACTACCGACATTACTACATCACCAAAGGAGCTTTCTAACTCTCAAATCTCTGCACGGCTCACAGACGTGAGCTACAGCTTACAGTCTGGAAAGAGTTTTTACCTTCAACGCAGTTCTCTACCTCCTCCAAGTTGCGGAGAGTAATCCTCATCAGACTTGAGTTGAGCATCAGTTCGTTCTTGTGGCTCGGCCACATGTACTCAGGGGCCAGGTTGACAAAGAAAATGCGGGTATCTCCGGTGGCCACCTGATTGTCGCAAATATGGGGGTCCCCGAAGCCGCCGATCATGACCTTGTTTCCTCCGTCCAGCAGCACCTCTCCATTTATCATGGTCTTACCTTTCAGGTAGCGCCATACCCTGACCTTCAGATGGAGAAGAGACAACATGAGATTAAGAAAACACCATTTCCTGCAAAACAAGGTCACTCTTGCACATTCCAGAGCGGCCACCTACCGCCGGCTGCATAAGGCTCTGCAATTTAACTATGCACCATTATACGTTTCCAATTTGTATGTGCTTCAGTGGGGGGTCCAAATATGGGGGGGGTATATTTAAAACAAAATGAAAAGTTTGAAATGTAATGAATAAAAAATATTTAAAGAAATATCAGATTCTGCACTATAGGTCACATATTAAATCTATATCCTGGTGGTCAGATGTTCAATGATGGATAACAGGTTTTACACAAATACGTGGAGTTCAATTACTATGGTCATAAAATCCAGAAGCTAATATTTCAATTCAACATTTTACTCAGATTGTTATGCTCATATATCCGTCATTTTTTTTAAAATGCAAAAAAGAAGCATTTTTTAATAGTTGTCTAAGCTGTGCAGTGCCATATTTCGTCCATCACACAATGAAATTATGGTACAAGAGCTGCAATTTTAGATTACCCTTCACACTTTTTATGTCCTATGATTAGTTTTGCCTAGAATTTGTTAGAAGTAACTGAATGTGGTTACGCATATCAAAGTAAGTCCATGATTACATGATAATTGAATATAATTGAAATCAAGTCAAAGCAAAGGCTGAGGTTCAGGTTGCTTGTGTATGAAAGCTCAAATTACAGGTGGATCAAAGTAGGACTGCGGAGGTTGAGTAGAACTAATGTCCCATTAGGAACAGTTTAACAAATATCCCTTTTATTTACAACTGGTGAGGTGCCCATCTAGACAGCATTTCACATGTTCCCATGATATGCTGCGAGTTTCTGACCAGGACAACTCAAATATTGGACTCTTGGCTTTTGTCTAACAGGTAATATATATTGCAACACAGTTGCACAGTGACAACAGATATTCCCGTATAGACTTGAGATATGATGTGCTATGAAGTACATATTTACCTTTGTTACTTTCACTTTGAATCATGTAAAGAGTGGCTGGTGTGCAAAGTCTTACCTTACAGGAATAAGTGTTGTGCACTGGATCCATGTTCATGATCTCCTCTACAGTCCCGGTTAAAACTACATTCGCCTCATCTTCTCTTTTTTTCAGCTCTCTTTCGGAACAACTTCCATGACAACGCTGACTCAAAAGCACAAAAACAACAGCAAATGACCAAACGGGCCAATAAAACGTCTTTCTGCGGAAAGGACCCATGGTCAAACCAAACGGATAAAAGAGAAAGTTACGAACTCGAGGAGTTCTGCAGCAAGTTTGATGTAAATAATAACACGACCGCGCGCCGCTCTCGGTGTTCTTCAAACTTCACTGCGATCTGCACTCATATCTGCGCTGAGGTAACGCGCGAGCATCAGCCGGCAGACGGAGAAGAATAGAGAGAGGAACGAGGAATGCCGCGGCTCACCCCCCTCGCGCACACACTCGCTCTCCTTTCAGAATGACGCTCCCTTCACAGGACATTTGCATGCAATCTGAATTGCTGATAAGAGCGACGGAGGGGGTGATTTCAAGCGCACCAGAGAGAAGCGGGTGTAAAACGCCACCCCTTGGAGAGATTGCGCCAATTCGGACAACATAACCGTTCTACGGGACTAGAGATGAACAGAAAGCTTCTAACTAACTAATAGTGATGTTTGCATTTAATCTCAATATAGCCTACACCAGTTTTTGTAGTCCTAAACCCCGAAAAAGAACTAGCATTTTCAAGCTGGTTTGATTTGAACGCGATTTATGAGGGGGGAAATCTGAAATATATGAATATTATCTAAAAATAGTTCCATGTTTTGGAATACAAGATTACTTAACTTGAATACTTAAAAAGTGAAATTTACAGCCGCTTTAAGAAAAGTTGCTAATAAGATGCTAAAGAGTACCGAAGTTATGAAGTCACTTTGTAGGACAATTTGGAGGTTAGCGGCGACCTCGATCGAAAAGCTATTTCATGCATTGACTTTTGGAATATCGCAAAATAAGATCTTTTTACAAGAGTTGTGACCCTTACGCGTTTTGTCTATCAAGATAATCTTTACAAGTTAATTCAAAATGTATACATTTTGAAAAGTATTTAGAGGCTTTGTTAACCACAGATTTTTGAGGTGATTTAGCAAAAAAAATTCAAAAAACCCATAGACTTCAGTGCGAGGCAACCGGAAGTGCTAAAATGCTAACTCACTTCCGCGTTTTGGCCTACAAAGTGACGTCTTAACTTCGGCACTCTATTGAGAGTGAGTCACGTGCTGATTTGGCGCCGGTAGGAGAAACGCTATCGGTTACCAAAAATTCCTGCGGCACGAATGGGCGTAGAGCGCGGTGTGGTAGACGCAAATACGCCTTGTTTTCACAAATGGCACAAATTGAGCATCTGGCGTGTTCTGCGAATGATTTTCTTTAAGTGCTTTTTGTGCATTCACGCATTTGACGCAAATTTGCGTCTGCTGCCCGAGTTGAAATCTGAACTTTGGCGTCAATTCACATCTACGAGATCAATTTTCATAGAAAAAAAGTTTTTGCTCTGTTTTTCTGAATTAACGAGTTAATTATCTCAGAATTACGTGATCATTTTTCATGGAAAAAAGTTTTTGCTCTGTTTTTCTAATTAATCTTGTTAATCTCACGACGTATGAGCGAGAATTGCGATCTCCTTCAACTAGTTCTTGCGCAATTCTCGCGCATGCGTCACGGAAATCTCTTGAACTCTCGTCTCAGGCCCAGAAGGAAGAAAAGGAAGTCAAATAAACTCGTCATTTTTTTTATTTCCGCACAAAAACTTTTCTCATCACTTGATAAACTTATAGTTTAGCCACTGTAGTCACATGGAATGTTTAAACATTTTCTTCATTGACTTTCTGGGCCGTCAAGTTTCAATCCTTTATATGTAGCAGTTATCCACCTCTCAAATTTAATGAAAAAATATCTTCATTTGTGTTCCGAAGATGAACGAAGGTCTTACGGGGTTGGTACAGCATGGGGGGTGATTAATTAATTACTTCATTTTCATTTTGGGTGAACTAACCCTTTAATGATTACAATTTGACAATGCTTTGATAATTACATATTAAGCTTATGTTATTCATTAAAATTACTGGATAATTACAGCAAAAAATGCACACTGGAAAATCCACTGGAAAGTACAGTATCTCCCAAAAACAGTTAACCTTGACACAAATAATAGTAACAACTTTCATCTTAACATCTTGAAACAGAGATGAGTAATGATCTTACTAATATGAACATCATTCTGACACGTGCAAGGATTAAAAATCTTACTGTCGCTCCCAGTTCTAAACTGACAGTGCATAAATTTCCAACCTTTCAAAAGCTGTAATTTCACTACCAGTCCATCTATTCCTGGAAAATGACAGGGCGTGGAATCTGTGGTTGCACTGATATATTTGTAGAAATACTCTCATTTTAATGACACTGTGTCCTGCTCCTTAATTCTTATACCACAATACCCATAGATTTAGAAAGTGTATTTAAAATACAGGTTTTTCATTTGGGAAATGGTTATATTATTGGCAATGCGAGACAATGGTGTAAATTATTACTTCAGACAACTCCTCTGTATAAACAACTTAATCAGCGCAATTAACTTCACAAGCAGTAAAGGTTGTCTAAACTGATGTTTAACCACTTAATTTCCATTTTTTAAGGGTTAGTTCACCCAAAAATGAAAATTATGTCATTAATTACTCACCCTCATGTCGTTCCAAGTCCGTAAGACCTCCGTTCATCTTTGGAACACAGTTTAAGATATTTTAGATTTAGTCCAAAAGTTTTCTGTTAAAATCCTTAGACATGTTTGCGAAGATTGTTTTGTTTACAGCGTGCGTCTCCCTCAGACGATAAACGAAGCTCGGGCGTACTGATAACACGTCAGCAGCATCTTACATCATCGGCGTTACTGAACACGGATTGTCAACAGAACCGGAAGACAACACAATGCTGAATAAAGTCGCATTTTTTTGTTATTTTTGGACCAAAATGTAATTTAAATTCTTCAAAACATTCTAACTAACCCACTGATGTCACATGGACTATTTTGATGATGTTTTCCTTTCTGGACAAGGACAGTACCTGTAATGTTAATTAGGCATTAATAACATTCTCATTTTTGGGTGATCTAAATGCTTACATGGTCTTAACTTCAGTTTTCTGAGATATTTAAGAAAGTCTGATTTGTGGCTATAAGTTTTTATACATCCAATAAAACAAATCTCGTCCCATTCCGCTTAGACTGAAGTCCTACCCACCCACTCTCTCGTTCTCTTTCCTATAACAATGATGTCAGCCCACATAAAGCCCATTACAGTCAAGCTCATTTGAGAAATATCATTCAAATTGAAATATCACCCCAGTGAAATCACTCAGTCTACTTTGAAACAAGCGTAGGAGTTCAACATTTCACAATGCAAGAAAGTAATATAGCCTGTGGATTGATGTAAAAGCAAAAGAGATGCATAAGCCACAGAGACCACTTTTGAAATTCAGGTAACAAACCATCAGCATCTGTCTCAGCTCGAGGGCTTTTAACATCACAACAACAGCTTGCTCCTGCCCACAAACATGTCACCACAAAAGGTTTTAAAATGAAAAAAAAAAACATTATTTTCTTTTATTATGTTCTATGATGTCCACTTTTTAATGATATCAAGATTTTTACATTAGAAAAAAGTTTCCTGTGAAAACTGTTATTCTGCAGCCCGTCATTACATTTTGAAAACTTCCAATGTAAAAAATATCTTGTTTCATAGTTTAAACATTTGGCAACAATATGAAACATAAATGTGTACTACATGTTATGTTTACATCTTGGTTGTTGCAAATAAGTATGTGCATGCGCATGACATCACCGTATTCACAACTTAGCATTTTTATAGTTTACACAGAGACAACATTAGTAAAGTTTGTGTTTTCAAGCCCCCAAAACACTGCTGATGTGTACATAAATGACCAAAACGTCTTTTTTTAAACGTCAAAGCGTTTTTAGAAATCTGTGTCGTGTAAACTGCGCCTCAGTTAATATAATGTAATGAAATTTCTTCCAAAGTCTAGTTATATAAAGCACTTTTTACAATACGGATTGTAAAAATCTATTAAATTAAATATATCTAAAAAAGATATATATTTTTTTTCCTTTTTTTGGGGTGGGGGGGGTGGGGGGGATTATTTGGTGTTTATTTATTATGAAAAAGAAAAAAAGATGCAACTCTCTTCAGTCCAGATCTTATTTCTGATGTTGCTACAGTTTGTTACAACGGTGTGTGCCAATTACAATCATTTCTGTCAGATGTCTTTGTTTAACTTAGGGATTTGAAAAGCTTTGTGGGTTCTATTTTAATGGCACTCCTAAGTATTACAAAGATTGTGTATTTTCATAAAGACTAGTGTAAACCATAAAGAGATTTTGGCCAAGCATATGATTGTTCCCATGTGTGGTCTCTGACTCTTCTCTCTGTAAGCAAAGCAAACTGCCTTGTACAGACAATACAATCACATCCTTATTTTTCTTAATCCAGTTCTCTCCAAACATCTCAGCAACACATCGTCTGTCAGCTAAAAGTGAAAGATGATATTTTGACCATTCTGACAGCTAGCTTTTCCTGCTAGTGACCCAGAATCTCTTTGACGTGCCACCAAAGAACACCCCTGCAGTTCGAACAGCATGATAATGCCAGTCAACTTCTCACTAAGAAGATGTGTGGCATTTGTATCACAGCAATATGCCCGTCAATGGCACCATGTCACTGCTACACTGAGCGAAAGCTATGCAAACTTGCATGAATATTCATAAATTACTGTTGTACTGTGTACACCCAGGTGTACAGTATTGGACTGCATCACAATGACTACTGCCTGTTAATCCAGCCCGTTCTAAGGATGAGAATGCGTAATCATTACAAATCACAGTGTACGACATGGATCTAAAAAACTTCAACATGTATGTAGACTGTACAATGAATTAAACAGTTGGGGTTTACCGTTTTCGAATGTATTCAGCCGATTTTCTGATATATTTAGAAAAATATCAGAAACCAGACAGTTTCTGGTCTCATTGACTTCCATAGTAGGAAAAAAATATATACTATAAGCCAATGAGACCAGAAACTGTCTGGCTATTGATATTCTCGAAATATCAAAAAATAAATCAGCTGAATACATTTGAAAAACGGTAAACCCCAACTGTTTAACTCTGGGGGAGTGGTAAAAAAAGCCTATTTCCAAAAAAAAGTGGAGTGTCCCTGGTTGCATTGATCAATACGCCATTTCATGTTGCATGTTTATTGGCTTGTCAGTAGACGTAGGTCACCCCTTATGAAAAAGAAAATCATTTTATGAAATATACTAGTAATTTTAAGGATACTGTATGTAGTAAGTATACTAATATCAATGTGTACTTGTAAAT